TTAATCAATGTCATAAAACAACATGTGTACTACTGTTTCATGAGAAACTATTTGTTCTGTAAGCCTTCACCTAAAGTACAATAAAATATAAAAAATAAAAAAAATAAAAAAATAAAAATTCCTGCCTCGCAATGCAAAGCCGGTTCTTATTTTGACCCAGGGAGAAATGAAAGAATTTACATCATAGTCTTTACCTGTCTTCAGTAAATCTGGCTTCCAAACTACAGGTGAGAGAAAAACCACAAATCATTATTTGACTAAAAATACCTTTAAAAAGAAACTAAGTTTGTCAGTGGGAAGGGGAGTCTAGAATAACACGGAACTGAACACATCTGACTTCCTCTCTACTCCCATCCCCAACCTACCTAACTCCAGTGGTGTCACTAGGGGAGTGTGGGAGATGTGGACTGCACCCCCTTACACTGTCAGAAGGGGTGACACCAAAATGGTCCCAAGGAACGAAGGGGCAGTGGCAGCGGTGGCAGGCAGCCAGCAGCACCAGGGGAGGGGCCACCAAGGCAGTGGCATCACGAGGGTTGGTGTCACCCGTCACCCAGTGACCCAATGTGGTAACTCGTGACCACCCCCCCAGTCACTTGCCAGGCACTAGGGTTGGTGTCACCCTGTGCAGTAACTCATCCCCACCCATTCCTATCACCTGTCAGGGTGTGGAGGGCTAGGCCAAGGCACCTGCCAGTGGGCGGAGAAGAGGGTCTCTGCCTTGGCCAACTGGAGAGGCAAGGAGCTGCAGAGGGTGGGGCCAGGAAGGATGAAGCCACACAGCTCAGCACTCGGCTGTGTGTGGGGGCATGGTGGGCTGGGCCACTCTGACCACTGGGGGAGCATCCACTGGTTGGTCTCACCCATCGGGGGGGTGACATCATAAGTTACCACACTGAGTGACACCAACTCTAGTGACACCACTGCTTAACTCATCTCCTGAATTAGGAGGCTGGTTGGCACCTCCTAATGAGGTACCAGTATCAGGAAGTCTGAGGGAGGTGGAGCTGGGACTGGGTTTTCTCTCCTAATAGAGTAACAACTACAGAGACAGAGAGAGAACAAACAACTGGAGACTGGTATGGAAGGACACTAGGAAGAGTATCAGAACATGAGAGATCCTAGAAAGATATTCATGCACCCATGTGACATAAGGTTAACATGGGGCTCACACAGTGTTCTTGGCCCCCAAGAAAAAAGCTGGACAGGTGAGCCATGTCCTTTCCATCCAGCAGCTAAGAGATACAAGGAGATTTGGTGTCTTAGTAGTGACCTGCCTGTCAATGTACCTCTGGTTCTCTTCACCTTCTATCATTGTGTGACTGATGCCAATAAGACCGGAACTCCATTGAGATGACTAGAAAAAACAATAACACATCTAAGAAGAGCTGTGGTTTAGACATATTCTCCTCTCTTTCCTGGGCACCTGGAAAGACTATACATCTTAGCCTCTTTGCACTTAGATAGGGCCTTTATTTTCTTAAATAGGAGTTCCAGACTGAGGCATTTAAGAGTGTATATGGCACCCCATATTTGCAAATAATATAGAGAATATGAACCTAATTATGAGCTCCAGGAAAGGAAGATAAGCATTCAGGGCAAAGTATGGATAAATATATGATGTTCCTAGAAGGGAAGAAAATAAAAATATCAACTGCATCAAAATTAATTTATACATTTTAGTGTAATTCCAATTTAAAAAACAAAAGTGTTTTCTGATCACAGGTTTCTTGTTTAGATTTGGATTGAATTATCTTGAAATAAACAGGTATACTAAATGTCCAAGAATAGCTGAGGAAAATATGAAAAAATTGAAGTGAACAGTGATGATCTAACAGACAAAGGACACTGAATTTACTATCTTTCCAGATCATTCTCTCTAGAACTGTGAATCCAACAATATTTCGACCCTTCTGGAATCTACTATCCATTGATGCTACCAGTTTTCATTGTTCCCTCACCTCCTCCTCCCGTCATCCTCTCATCCCTCCTTATTCAGCTTTAGTTCCTTAATCCATCATTATAATCACTCTCTTGCATACACCTTCAACTTCCTCGCGAATTCTCTTTTATGTAACTTATCTGGCAAAACCCCAACTTCCATTAAATCCAATTCTCTGAAGCTTAATGTGGCTGGAGAAAAACATGCTGACTGCTCTCACTTTAAATTCACACCAAGGACTCAAAAAGGTCCTCAGTGCTGTCCAGCAGTCCTGCTCCATTTCCCTAGTCCACTTGCCCTTCTATTTCCCAAGGTAACTAGTTCATCCCTTATTTGCTCTTCTCAAAATCTCCAACATCTTCTCCCCCATTCTCACTTGCTATCCTTGTTTCCTATTCCACTAAAAATAAATAAATAAAAGAACTCAGAAGACATCTTGCACAAATTCCCACAAACACATCTATCTACCTACCTGTACGTGTACCTACACACTCTGTCCTTCCCCTTGTCATTATGAACTTCATGCCCCTATCTAGTGCTAAGTCCTTTATTTGTGCACTACTTCCTATTTCTTCTTGCCTATTTAAGACTATTATGTCAAATATCCCCACCCTAACCCTTGCATCATTGATTTTCTTCCTCTACCAACTGAATCACTCCTATCAACACACAAATATGCTGCTATTTCTTCAATTAAAAAACAAACAAAACTTTTTTGCCAACTTCTCCCTTAAGCAACCTTCTGTGGTTAAGTATTTGGTTGCTAACCAAAAAGTTAGTGGTTCAAATCCACTAGCTGCTCCTTGGAAACCCTATGGGTAGTTCTACTCTGTCCTACAGGGTCTCTATGAGTCTGAATCAACTTGAAGACAATGGGGTTTGTTTTTTTTTTCCACAACACAACAAAACTTCTCAAGATTTATCACTCCAATTCTTCTCTCCCCATTCGAACTTGAATCCATTCCAGTAAGGGTGAGTTCTCTGAAAATCATCTTCTCAGATTCTCCAGTAATATCTTTTCTGTTAAGTCCAGCCTCCATATTACCTGACTATTGATTCAATAAATCACTCTCTCCTCCTAAAATCATCTTGCTCACTTGTTCCTTTTCAGTCTTCTTTGAAGATTCTTCCTCGTTTCTCTGAGCTCTTAATGTTGGTGAGCCAAAAAGTTCATTCCTTGGACTTCTTCTCTTCTCCATCTCCACTCTCTCCCTTGGAGATCACATCCAGTCTTATGTCTTTAAGTACCATCTATAGCTTAATAATTCTGAAGTATCTCTCAACCCTAGACCTTTCTCCTAAGCTCCAGAATTATATAACAAACTGCCTACACTTTAAGTTCACTCGGATGTTTAATAGACATTCCAAACTTAACATGTTCAAAAGTGAACTCTTGATCTTCCCTACCAAAACTGCTCCTCTCTTCTTACAGCATTCTCCTTCTCAACTAATTATAATTCTATCCTTCCCCTTGTTCCAGCCAAAGTCTTGAAATAAAGCTTGACTTCTTACTTTTCCCCAAACCATATCTCCCAGCGCACCAGCAAATACTTTTGGCTCTATCTTCAAAATATGAGGTGCCCTGATGGCACAATTGTTAAGTGCTTGGCTACTAACTGAAAGGTTAGCAGTTCAAACCTACCCAGCAGCTCTGCAGGAGAAAGATCTGGCAATCTGCTCCCATAAAGATAACAACCTAGAAAATCCTATGGGGCATTTCTACTCTATTACATGGGGTCACTAAGAGTTGGAAATTGACTCAGTAGTACCTAACAACAACACAACATCTTCAAAACATATGCAGAATCTGGCCATTTCTCACCACCACCACTGCTGCCACTCTTGTTCAAGCCATTATAACCTCTTGCCTGAATTATTTTATATCCTTCTAAAAAGATATGATCATGGTATTATAATTATTCTCCTTTGAATTGTGTCCACCAAA